AAAGTCCAACACTGCCTGGCTCCATTCTCTTACACAGTAAGAGTCCTTGCTGGTAGAAGTTGAGATGACTGTTGTCTTTATGCTTCCTGCTGTCCCCTTCTTCCTATTGTTCAGGGGCAAGCATGGCAGTGAAAGGAACCCACATATCTGAAAAGCAGAAGGCATTAGCTGAAGGCATGCAGGTGGTCAAACACGTGGCTTCACGGGCTCCCTCTCAGGTACCGCGACTCCCACTTGAGCAGTGGTTTCTTGACTCTCCTCAATTCCCTTCTTCAGCTGTCCCATGCTTCAGGCTGGGTGTCCTTGGGGTCTGTGTCTGAACCCTCCAGCTGTAGCTTTCTAACTATCACTCCACCAGCTTTTCCCACATCAGTTTAAGCCCTCATTTCCATATTAAACCCTTTATTCCTGTAATAGCTCTAACATCCCAGCAGATACACCAGGCAAGCACAAATACCATTTTCATAAAGAGCCCCTTATTAGATCTAAGCCAAGCCAGCAAGTGGGGTCAAGACCTTCACATTCAGTAATTTCCTGGCAACTGATTCCACCTAGAGGGATGAGTTGTGAAGCAGTTTATTTTTCACTTTCAAGGAAGCGACACATCTTCTCTTTCTATAATCTTTGCAATTCTTTTTCCAGTTTGAACAAGGTATCTTTCTTATTTTCAAACTGAGGGTGCCACCATTTATAAAGAATCTGTGGTCCTGTACCTAATAAGTTGCCAGGCACATCCACAAGCTTTTAGTCGATTTACAGACTAGTAAATCAGGAACATACTTCCAAGATTACAGTCTGGCTCAAGTTCCCTTGCAAGAGGCATATTTCACGCAAGGCCCCCACATGGACATTTGTTCAGGGTCCACTGCAATCTCTTGGTCCTGTTCTGCACACTCTAAAGTATTAGTTCTGATTTCAAGATATTTTAAAGCTGACTCAACTGACCCATAGATCAGGATAACAGCAGTCCGTATAAGATTTCCACACCCACAATTCGTAAACACACTCCCTAGTGACCTTCTCAAATTCCTGTATACTTCTTTGCTCTAGGAATCACTCGAAATCATTTGAATGGTAACTTGGTCAGGAGAAGGCACTGATACTTTTCACTTCAGGAGACTTAGTATGGCCACAGATGAAGTCCTGAAGACATCAAGATTTTAAGTAGATGTGGCTTTCTAATGGGGAAGAATGTTCTAGATATCCAGAGAAGGGTGTTCTAGGACAGGGAACAGTAAGAATAAAGGCTCTGGACTGGGAGTGTGACATCTGGAACAAAGACCAAAAGAAGAAAGAAGAGTAGAAGATGAGGCTAGATGGGTCATGGAGGAGGGAGATGCCATAAGTCTGGAAGACCGCCATTTTGACTTTTATCTTGAACAAGTTGAACATTATTCAAAGATTTTGAGAATAGGCAGAAGGGAGGCAGTCTAGAAAGAGATAATGAGAGCTGTGTGGGGTTGACAAATTTCTTCCATAGGAGTCACTTTTGCACCTGACATAGCAATTGTCATCAGATCCTAGACTTTGATTCTCACTAGTTGAGATGACTGAGGGTCTTCTTTCAAGGAGGGAGTGAGTGTAATCCATGTGTAAGATGATAAATGCAAACATATGTTTGGTAAGTATGATCAGAAGTTTCTGGTTCTTCCAGGACACACGGCTACTCAGCCTCTGTCACAAGTAGGTGTGACTATGGGACTGCCCAGGACCTGGTAATGGAACACAAGTAGAAATGTCTGTGCTCCTTCTAAGTCTGGCCCACAAATGGTGCCCTATGTGCTCCCTCATGTGCCTTCTTCCTTGCTGGCTCACTTGGATGACCCACGAGGGTGAAAAGCATGTGAAGTCAAATATAGGCTTATGTTGGAAATTTAAGCAAATATGCATCTCTCAATACCACATCCCTCTCTCCCCCATGTTCATGCCTTCACACTCCAAACCTGAGAGCATTCAGCCCCTCAGGTACTAGGCCATGAGCTGTCCCAGGATTCCAGGGGTGATTCTCTAGGTACTGAAGCATCCTAGCTCGCAAATGTGTAAAGGTGTAACGATGCAAAGTCTAGTTAACAGTGAACGTATCTGAGTAGATCTTGAGAACATGTATCTGACTCATTATCTTTAAAATACTGTGCAAGTTGGGGGAACTCTTTTGTGGGATAATTACCCCATTTCAGCACCATCAGTACCTTGGAGACACTTCTGGAGGCCATTAGTTATTTCAGGTATCTTTAGAATAGAATTCCTACTACATGGCTTTAGTCATGCTTGTGTGACTGACCTCAGATGACCATCTCAGGAAAGCTCACATGACCCAAGCCTAATATGAAACTGATTGTGCTTCCTTGGTTTTGAAAGGCTGTTGAATGTCCTGAACTGTTAATTCTAACATTGCCCCTGTTCCTTTCAAATCATTCAATGCCATGCTTGTGTTGCCTGATGCTTAAAGATGTATGCTATTTTCTTATGTACACGAAGAATTGTGCCAGCCAGTTATGGGTCCTTTTCCTTGTTAAGGCTCTACAGTACCCATGTTAATATCCATGTTGGTTCCCATATGGCAACCATCCCTTTCCTTTTCCATGTAATTCAGATGGGGCTGCCAATCAAGGAGCTGAGTCCAACATACATAAAGATTACATGCCCAAGGATGGCCAATCATGAGTCAATTTGAAGTTGCTATTGGTTCTAAGACAGTGTCTGTTCTTCTGAGATCATGTACCTGGATCTTCTGGCACCATGTTTTCCAAGAAGAGTAAATAAAAACAGGACTGGAAACTGGTGAGGGAGAAATAGATTCCTAGTAACTGGATCCAGCCTTGTTTGATACTGACAGTTCCACACTTGGTTGCATTATGCAACTCATCTTCTAAAATTTAACTCAATTTTGTATGGTTTAGATCTCTATTACTTATAACTGAGAATTCTAATTACTGTCCAGTTTAATTACAGGATGTCAAGGGAAGTATACTTTCCCATTGACCATTCTCGGGGGTCTCACTGGCTGTATACTGTCTCCTTATGTATACTTATTATACCTTTGTTACAGCCATCTGAATCTTTCCTTCTGATTCAGTTTACTCTGAATCTACTACCTTGTGTGTGGTTGCAAACTAACTGGAGAAGATGAACAATACTTCCCAGGTCTCTGATCCCCACAGGTTTTCCCTAAGAGACTCAGGTCTGAGTTTATGACCTTGAAAATCTCACAGTGACAGCAGTTACTTTTCCCCACCCATAACCCCTGTTGGTTTCTTGAGAGAGCCTTGCTATATTGCCCAGGCTGATTTTGAACTTCTGATCCTCCCACTTTAGCCTCCCAGGAAGCTGAGATTATAGGTGTGTGTCATTCTGCCTGGCTAGAGAGTAGTGTTTTGACTAGGATCTCTGTTCAACCAGTGGTTTAGAACTGCATTAGAAAAACCTCTATTCATCTTAATCCAGCATTTTCTTATTTACTGGTAAAGAATAGGGTCAATTCCAACTCATTTCAAGAGGCCTTAAATTGTATGCTTTCTGAGTTGTATTTTATTTTTTTGGGTTACTGCCATTTCATGTGTTCTGATACACCAAACCATTACCACCACTGTTTCCATTGTACAGAGCCCTTAGTTTTAGATTTATAAACCCAATATGTGGATGATCCTTCAGATCAAGGGTTGACAAATCCACAGGGCACATTTTCATAAATTCTTTAAGCCAGCTGCCTATTTTCATAAATTGTTTAGCTGGAACACAGCCATATCCACATATATATGTATTGTCTATGGTGGGTTCTTTCGTAGTTGCCACAAAGACCATATGGCCACAAAGCCAAATATACTTTCTGGCCCTTTACAGAAATATTGCCAACCCCTGCTCTCTGTTGAGTTTGATAATTGTTCCTTTACCCAGAAACCCATAGGAAATGGTGTTTGTAAAGTACCCTGAGGGCTAAAGGAATGATTATTTTAACAAACTTCTGGGGAACACTGTGATCCATTCTAGATCAGTTGGGGCAGGACATGACATAGCAGATACTTGGGATACCCCTGTCCTACAGCACCTATATTTTCTTTTTGAGAGACCTGGGGAATAATACATGTTCTAAATCTTGGTTCTGTAAGTCTTGTATTTGCATTTCCATGTGGATTCAATTTTGGCCAAGGGTAGAGTTTCTTTTCCTGCTCATGGGTGGTAGTGGCGGAATCCTACTGGACATTCTGTCTTCCCCCATGACCGTCCCTCCTGCATCAAAATGTGGCTCCAAGCTACAATTGACAGTCCATAAAGATGTTCCCATTGTTTCTCATGCTCACTCTCAGTCATGTGTAATTTGGAATTAATTACGAGTGTAAGAGAAACACTGTGCTTCTAACTGTGTGGTCAGAATCTTCAGAGTTATTACAGCCACCTGCCCTTTTCTCTTCAAAGATGCTGTAGCAAAACCACACCCATCTTTCACAGTGACTCCCCAGGCCCATGACACTAACTCGTACCCACAACTTCACTCTGTACTCCAACCATCTCAGCTGAGGAATCTGAATATCAGCCAAATTTTGAGTTCCCACCAATATATTCTTTCTTTTTCTCCATTATCAGGGCCTAAATTCATAGCAGACCCTATCACAGAAGTAGCTGTCCACTCTTTAGATTGCAGCAGGGCAGAAAAGTGAGTCAAGAACCATTCAACCAACATAAAGAATGAAAACGCAAGTTTATTTTAAAGTATAAAAATAAAAAACACACACACACGCACACACACACACAAACAAAACCAAGCCTAACCAAAAAACAAAAAGCAACCACGCACAATCTTTCCAGTTTGCATTAATTGTGAGTATCACACACTATTAACCATTTAGCTGCATTTAAAAGTGTTAAATTTTAGTTGAGTCAGGCAGTAAGCTAACAATCACAGTGTAACTATCTTAATGCTAAAATAAAATGCTGATCTCAGGAGTAGGGATTTAGCTCAATGGTTCCACCACCTGCCTCGCACGCACAAGGACTGGAGTGCAATCCCTGGTACCCACACCCCACTTAAAAAAATGCTGATCTCATTTGAGAGAAAAGAAAGCAGAGATCACATTATTCTGGTCGTTGTAGATTTAGGCAATGTATTAAAAAATATCCTAGTTGGAATGAATTAAAAAATACTACCAGGCACTTATTTGACATTTTAAATAGAAGGGGAAAATCTAAAAATCCTGTAGCTTTGGTGTCCTATTTATGATTTTTAATCCATTAAAAATCATATCCATAATAAAATGTCCCTGCATTTTTTTTTTAAATTAATAGGCTCCCCTTATCTACTAAAACCATTTGTTTTTCCCAAGATGCCTGGAAGCAGAAAAGCACGTGGGATTAACTCACTGCACAATTAATTAAAATTAGAATCCTTTCCTCTAAACAATTTCCAGAGCACCAGAAAAAAGCAGGCACCCATCAAAGGGAGGAATAAACCACACTGACTCACAGGAGATGAAATGTGTGACTGGACACATTCTGTCTGCTATCCAAGTTCCTTAATGGATTACTCAGAAAATAACTCAAGTGCTATTTTGAAACTGAAAGACACAAGCAACCAGGTTCCTTTACTTAAAACAAAAACAAACAAAAAAACCCCAAGTCGCCAGCTTTCCTGTTATTTACTTTGGATTTGGTTAAAAAAAAAAAAGGAAAAATCTACACAGCAGGATCACAGAAGGGAAGGGAAGGGAAGGCTACTTCAAGGCTACTTCCTGTAGGCTTTGTTGTAATTAGCATCATACAGGTTAATGACAATTCTTGGGCCAAGGAAAGAAGCCCTGAATGTGTGACAGCTGCCCAAGGTGGTTCCACTTGGTTCCAGCTTTGTCCTTCTGTGGTCTTCTTACCGAACAACGCCCAAGTTTTTACCCATTATTCCTGCACGGGGGTGGGCCCTGTGGCTGGCTGGGTACAGAAAAAGAGGAAAACTAGCACAAACATAGGGACTATGAATTGAGGGAGGCAACTCTGTTTCTGCATCCTTCAAGAACTCCATAAATATTAACCTCCAAGTGCAACAAAGCAGCCGGTTAGTCTGGGGGGACTTAAGGGCTGGGCAAGGCAAAGGCTGGACCTCCTTCTGCATCTTTCTTTGGACTGTACTATAGGGAAGACAAACAAAACAGAGACAGCCTTCCTATACACATATAAATAATCCCTTAACTAGAAGGGAAGAAAACCAAACACACTGTTTAAAATGCATTTCTAAGAGATTAAAAAAAAAAAAATCCAAACGGAAAATCTTCACTCAAAACGATCGTGTTGCCCATGTTGCTCAAAGGAGACAACTCTCTACTACGCCTCTTATCTACCTGGATGTCAGGCGAGGGTTGGCCCTAACTTTAACCCTAGCATTAACTCAGGGTGCTGGTCCTGGGACACAGGGCAGAGTATGCACAGTGTGGGGAGCCTGGAGCTCTCACAGGAAGTGACAGACCCGGCTCTTACGAGTGTTAGAAATCAGGATCCTCAAGTCCACATGCACAGGTCAGACAGACTCCAGGGTGTGAAGGGGGCCTTGGAGCCTAATGCTGAAGCTTCAGGAATAAGCGAGAGGGGCTGGGCATGGCTTGCTGGGACAGAAGGCCAGATCAGCTTTCAGGCCAACTCCAGCTGGGTCTTCATCCCTTGGCTGTAGCCGATCAGCTGGGAGGTGACAATCCAGAAGCTATGGAAGGGGCAATGGGGCAAGTGGGCCGAGACCACAGGTTAAACTCATGGTACGGCCCCCCTTCCTATTCTGAGATGAGGCCAATTGTCTACACTGCCAGAAACGCCTCTCCACATGAGGATTCTTGGGCAAATTTCAAAGTCAAAATCTATCCAGGGTACACAGTTTCTAAGTCCTTCACAAAACTAAAATGACACCAGTGATAGTGGAAGGGTGTCACTCATAGCAAAAGTTTCCTTTGGCCACTATCTGCTAAAGTGAGAGCAATGTGTAGGGTAACACAAGACAGGTTTTGAGGTGCACCTGGATGATCTTCAGGGTGGCCATCCATTGATGGTCTTCTGGTAGACCAACCCAAGTCCCCAAATGGAGCAGTAAGGTGGCGGCTTCCCAGAGGATCTGGCCCAGGGTCTTCTGCCCTTCCGGACATGCAGCATGGAACAGAAGCACTACTTTCTCAGGGACTACTCAAATACTGTTTCATCCTGCTGCCTGCAAATGTACAAAGCTCATTAGGGGGATTCCAACAGTAACAGAACGAAGGGAAGCATGAGGTTGTGATCCTAAGCCCTCAAGGAAAAGTGACTTCGCAGAAATTGACAATGCATCATGTCAACCAAGAAGCCAGAAAAATGCCAGATCACCCTCCAAAGAACATCTCAGGGACCAGGGGAACAGAGCGGCAGCTGATACCCCAACTTCAACTTGAAACCCCCTTATAGGAACTTAAAAGTGCGTCCCATGTTATCAGAATAACACGTCGAAGCAGATGCACCATCTGGACTCTCGAACAGCTGGATTCTATGCTTCCTCAGTGCCTGGGCTGGGTGCAGAGTCCCTGGGTGGAGCAGTGCCTTCCAGCAGGCCAGGCTGTCCTGGGCTGTGGCTGGTGTCTTCCATACTCAGGAGGCTGCTGGCTGCCCGTGAACTGGTGCTGTCCACACTCGCTGACCGCGAGCGATAAGGGGGCAGGTCGGCTTGGTTCAGAGACTCGGTGTCCGAAGAGTAGGGTGGTGGAGGAAGGTCATACCACGCGGGTCTGCAGTGGAGAAAGCAGGCCAGGGCACAGGGGTGGTAGGGAGAGGAAGGGGAAGAAAACACATCAGAACCAAGCCAAGGCTGGCAATGTGGATGTATGTGAACTGACGCTTCAATCTTGGAATGAGATTTTTCCTTCAAGTACAAAGGGCAATTTAAAGGCCAGGAAGACCAGTGGTTGGAAAGAAAGCGAAGAGAAGAGAAAGGTCAGTGTGTTCTGGCTGGTTCAGTTCCACTGGGCACTGCCAATGCCACATCTTCTGGTTGGACCCAGAAAAACGTGGCCGTGCGACACCCTCAGCTCAGTGTGCGCGTGGCCCTCAGCTGAAAGTACTGTGACCGAGAGGCTGGGTGGGCATCTGGGCCAAGCCTTTGATGGGCCCACAGAATTCCATGCTCTCACTAAAGCCAACTTTTCCTGCCGACTTGGGGAAGCGAGCAGACTTCCCACAATACCCTGTCTCCTCATCTGCGCTGTGTTTGAAATGAAGTCATTTAACAGAGAAGAAATTTTGGTTTTTAGCGTGTTGCTGAGTCGGGCACTGTGTCACCTTCTTGAACTCTCCCAAGAATGCTGCGAGCGAGGTGTGACTTTGACGTCCACAGTGCTGGCAGGGTATGGGAGGCACAGGCTGTTAAATGGCTTGCCTATGATCTCAGACAACTCCTGCAGGAAGCAGCAGGCCAGGATCGGAACCCAGGTACCCTGCCTCCAGGCTCAGCAATTAACTTTGCTCTCCACTGGACGGTCCCAATAGCGGGGTGATGAGTGAAAACTTCACCAAGAGAGGAGGGGTCTGCATTCTCATTTACAGGGTCTGCCCCACCCCCTGAGGCTCTGGCTATCTTTTATGAGGAGGGAAACTGAAGATGAAACAATAGGGGACTGCCAAGTGCAGTAGTGCATGCCTGTAATCTCAGCATTCTGGGAGGCTGAGGCAGGAGGATCACAAGTTCAAGTCCAACCTGGATGATTTCAGTGATTTAGTAAGACCCCATCTCAAAATTAAAAAGGACTGGGGAAGTCGCTCAGTATGGAGGTCATGAGTTCGATTCCCAGTATATCCACCAAAACAAACAAACAAAAAGAAATAATACCAGAGTTGCTACTGGAGAAGGTACAAAGGTACAAGGAAAAGGCCGGTTATACTGGACACAACTGAAAAAGGCCTCCTGGGACACGGTGAGACCTGAGCTCAGGTGAAGAGAGACGCCAAGCAGACCCCAAGGGCAGGGCATGGAAATACTAGAATCAAAAGGAGCTCGGACAATGTAAGTCCAGGGACCTCCAAAGTGAGCTGTCCGAGCACCCTGGAGCCACAGAGAGGGTGGGGAGCTGAGCAGGCAGGATTGGGGTCTGCCACTCACCTCGGCAAGAGAGCTATGCCTTTTGGCTTTTTCACTTTCTTGCAGTACCACCGTAATGAGTCACACTCCTTCAAAAAGCATGGCTTGCTCTATTCCACTCCCTTATTTTATAGATGAAGTTAAGGAACTGATTTATTCACTCATTCACTCGCTCACTGGCCAACAAATATTAGTAAAACCAGTGCAACCTCTTTAGTGTGCTGAGCTCTGTTCCGCGGTAGTGGGTGAAGCCTAGAGCTGGCCAGTGGGCAGGATGTGTTCCCTGGGGTACCACCAAAGAGCAGCGGGATCGTAACTGCGTGGAACACGGAGACAAATCTACAGCCTCCCTCAGTGACCATGGGATGATGCTCTGATGGGTTCTGCAAGGTCTGGGGAAGCGCTGTTCACTGCTCTGCGTACCGCTGTGGCACCCAGGCACTTGGTGAGGCCAGGAAATGCATCACCCCCTTACAGCCCGCCTCACTCCCCTTTTCCTGCCCAGCACGCACCTCTGGTCCAGCAGGGCCTCCGAGTAAGAGGGTGGGGAGCCTACTTCCGAGGCATTTTGCTCGGCCTGGCTGGCCACGTACTGGATGCCGTTGTTGACGTTGTAGGTGACGCTGCAGTGGTGGGGGTGGTCAAGGACCACCAGGCGGGACAGCAGCACGGGGTGCTGCAGCCGGTGCACGGGCAGTGTCATGAGGTTGTTCCGCTTCCGCTGGTGATGCAAGACCAGTGCCAGCAGGGCCACCACCAGCACGAAGATGACCGAGCTGCCGATGATGGCGTAGGTGATGCTGGGGTAGTACACGAGCTGGTTGTCTGAGGTCACAAACACCTGCCCGCTGCCTGGTTCTGAGAAACCCGGGAGAGGAGACACAAGGACAGAGGGTTCAAATGGGCTTTCCTTTGCCTTTCAAAGTCAGCTCTGGGGTCTGCATGCAAACGATCACGGAGGTACTCTTCCCAAGGGCCCAAAGTGGAACCTCCCAGAGATCCACGGGCTGGTGAATGGACACACAAAACGCGGTATACCCCCACAGTGAAATACTACTCAGCCCAAAACATAACGAATACCAAGGCACGCTACCACACGAGTGAGCATCAGACACTGCGCAGTACCCTAAGTCAGGCCCAGCGGATCACCCTAAGTACGATTCCATTGGTAAGAAATATCCAGAAAAGGCAAACTTATCGAGACAGAAGGTACAACGGCTGCCTGGGGCTGAGAGAGGAGATGAGGACTAATTCTGAGCAGGCTTCAAGGATCTTGCTGGGCTGACAGGAATGTTCTGAAAACTGAATTGTGGTGGGGGCTGCACCAATCAGGAAATTTACTAAAAATCATTGAGTTATGCACTTAAGATGGGTGAGGGCTGGGAATGTGGATCAGTGCTTTCGCCACCTGCTCACAAGTGCAGGGGCCCGAGTTTGATCCCTGGTACCAAAAAAAAAAAAAAAAAAATTAACTTCTAAGGGCCAGGGATTTAACTCAGTGGTTCTGCCACCTGCCTCACAAACGCAAGGACCTGAGATCGACCCCCAGGATAAACCCACCAGAGGATCATCCCATGGTCACTGAGGGAGGCTGTAGATTTGTCCCCGTGTTTCACACAGTTACGATCCCGCAGCTCTTTGGTGAGTTTGATCTCTTGTACCAAAAGCAAAAAAAAACCAAAACAATCTGCTTGTAGGGATTTAGCTCAGTGGTTCTGTTGCCTGTCTTGCAAGCACAAGGTCCTGAGTTCAATCCCTGGTACAAAAAAAAGAAAAGAAAAGACAAGACACTCCTTTGGGCCAGGGATTTAGCTCAGTGGTTATGCCGCCTGCCTTCTAAGTGCAACGTCCTGAGTTTGATTCCCAATACCAAAAAACCTATTTAAACTGTCTGCCTCACAAGCAAGGAAAAAACAAAACAAAACAAACACCCAAGTTCATTTGTGCCAGGATTTAGCTCAGAGGCACCAAGCCTGCCTTGCAAGGGCAAGGTCCTAAGTTTGATCCCCCATACCAAAAAAGCCTATTTAAACTGTCTGCCTCACAAGCAAGGACCCAAGTTCGATTCCCGATACCAAAACAACAACAAAACAACAACAAACCCAAAAGATGGGTGAATTTGATGGTGTGTGAATTTCATTCCAATAAAGTTGTTTAAAAAGATGGTCTTGGAAATGTAACAGTCCTAGTGGCAGAACAGCTTGACTCTGGGAATTAATAACACGGCACACACAAGGGACACAGATGGGTGTATCTAGGGCTCTTTCTGTCTGCAAGGTTTATTCTGTGTCAGGCCGCAGGTCCAGTCTTTCAGGCTGAGGACGAGCTCAACACAGGCTAACAGCACGGACTCTGGAGACCCTGATGTCTCAGCCCCACTGCCTTTACTTACTCACCGAGTCCTTGGGAAAGTGCTACCTCCTCTGGGCCAGAACTCAGCTACTTCATCTTTGACAAAGGAGCCCACCATCCTCACTGGAGACAAGATAGTCTCTTTAATAAATGGTGTTGGAAAAACTGGATCTCAACCTGCCGAACATTAAAACTAGACCCTTATCTTTCACCATGCACTAAACTAAAATCCAAGTGGATCAAAGATCTAAATATTAAAAAAGAAACACTAAACTTGCTGGAAGATAATTTAGGCAGGACTCTTGAAGACATCGGCATAGGAAAAGACTTTATGAACAAATCCTCATGAGCAAAGGAACTAGCACAAAGAATCAACAAATGGGATCTCATCTTATTAAAAAGGTTCTGCACTGCAAAAGAAACCATCAACAGAACTAAGAGACAACCTACAATGTGGCAAAAAATTTTTATCAGCTGCTCCTCAGGCAAAGTACTATTATCTAGAATATATAAAGAACTCAGAACATCAGCCCTCCCAAAATATAAAGACCTGATTAAAAAATGGGCATCTGAAATGAACAGACATTTCTCAGACAAAGAAGTAAAAGCTGCAAGTAAATATATGAAAAATTGTTCCACATCACTGGTCATTCGAGCGATACAGATGAAAACAACACTGAGATTCCACCTCACCCTCCAAAGAATGGCTGCTATCAAGAAATCAAACAATAAATGTTGTTGGGGTTGTGTGGAGAAAGGAACCCTTCTCCATTGTTGGTGGGAGTGCAGACTGGTGCAACCACTATGGAAATCAATATGGAGATACCTCAAAGAGCTGGGAGTAGAGGTTCCATTTGACCCAGCCATCCCTCTGCTGGGTATCTTTCCAAAAGAATTAAAAGAATCATATCACAGTGATATATGTGCACCTATGTTTATAGCAGCACAGTTTGTAATAGCTAAAACTTGGAAACAACCCATTTGCCCATCAATTGGAAACTGGATAAGGAAGATGTGGTTTTTCTATAAAATGGAATACTACTCAGCCATAAAGAACGAGAAATTAGATTCATTCATAGGAAAATGGATACATATTGAGGATATACTCCTAAGTGAAATAAATAAGTCACACATATGTAAATACCGAATAGTTTCTCCAGTGTGAAAAACTATAATAGTACACAAGACCCTAATGATATAATTGGCAATGTGAAATAGGAATAAAGGGGCTAAAGGTGTAGGGAAAGTGGGAAGGGCAGGGGAAAGGTAATAAGGGAAAAGAAAAAAATATGAGAAAATGAAAAAATGGAAATGAAGTGTTTGTAAATGGGGAGGGGAGGAGGGGGTGAAGGGAGGGCAGGGACAAGGGGTAAAAACAAGAACCAAGACCTGTCATATAAAGGTGCAAAATCCCAATGATGAACGTAACTGTACTGTACACCTAAAATGTACCAATAAACTCAATGAGAGAGAGAGAGAGAGAGAGAGGGAAAAGGTCTTGGGCTGGTGGGGCATGAAATAAACCACCAACTGTGAAGTGCACAGCTCCAGCTAAGTGCACGTTTGACACCCACAAACATGAGCCCTATCACACCTTTTTGCCTCCAACTCTATGAAGTGGGTGCTCTTTCCAACCCAATGTACTACAGACCCAGGACCTTTGCACTGAGGTACATCCCCTGCTCTATTGTTATTATTATTATTATTTTTTTTTTTTTTTTTAGACAGGCAGATCTTACTAAGTCACTCGGTTGCCCAGGCTGGGCTCGAGCTTGTGATTCTCCTGGCCTGACCTCCCAGAGTGCTAGCATTATAGTCATTACTATGACACCCAGAAGAAAGTGTTGCTTTTAAGATGGGGCAAGTGAAGCTTAGGAAAGTTGAATCCCCTTCCTACATGAGTTGGCGTTAAGGAGTGGTGTAGGATTTGAACCTTGCTCCTAACAGTGTTCCACAGCCGCCCAACAAGACCCTCTAGGCAAGCTGTAGGCACTTCCTCAGTGGTCTGGGGCAGGGCCTAGACATCCTCCACCCCCAGTTACCAGCAGCCTCCTCTCCCAGTGTGCTGACGAGGCACAAGTCAGGTGCTCAAGTAACAGGCTTCCCGGCCAGCGGGTCACACACATCTGGTGACCCTGGGAAGGTCCAGGCAGGCACAGGAAACCTCAGCGACCCCTCCTCACAGAAAGTGGGGACCCATCTGTGCAGAAAAATGGGAACCACCTCCTCTGTGGCCCAGCTAGAGGAATAATCGTAACACAGCCCCAGGGAGCAGCTGCACAGCTCTGTGCTTGTTCACCTGGAAAGCGGGAAGGAGGTTTCTGAGGGTCCCCAGGGGCCACAAAGACTATCTGAAGCAGCAGCAGCAGCACTGCTAGGCCCTTTCTCCAACCCCCTCTCAATTCCTGCATCTGTTTTGTGCATCTCTGTATCCCCAGGGTGTAGAAGGATGCCTGGCATACAGCAGGCACACAATAAATGCACAACTCAAGAGCAAATCTATCCACACACTCTGGTAAAGTAGCTCCTATCATCATTCCTACTGTTCAGGTGAACAAATTGGCTCACAGAAGTGAATTAACTTGACTGAGATCACACAAGGAAGAGAAGCTTGGCTGGAACCAAGATATTTTTCCTTTGCAAATTGCATTCTGCACAACACACTACTGTCTCTCCTTTCCCAACAGAAACACTTCCTGATTCCCCGAATAATCCTAATCCGAAACAAATGAAGACCTTTCCCCCTCAGACTCCCTTCTCTCTGTGTTCATCTTTCTTTCCATCCACAGCCAGACATAGACGAAAAGCTTCAAAGATTCTCCATGTTCCTGGGGGCCATCACTTCAACACGTGTTGTACATTTTCACTGCACAGAGAGAAGTGGATACAATCCCAGCTGACAGGCAAAAGCAGGCTACTGAGCACTTCCGGAAGGGAGGTGATTTGGACTCTTCTGGAGATAGCTGTTACTGTGTTCTCAGCTTAGATAATAAAAAGTCGGAACTGGGTGTGGTGGTACATGTCTGTAATTCCAGCATTCTGGGAGGCTGAAGCAGGAAGATCATGAATTTGAGCCCAGTCCGGGCAACTGAGCAATGTAATGAGACTCTCTCAAAATAAAAAAGAGTTCAAGGGCTGGGGATTTAGTTTAGTGGTTCCAGCGCCTGCCTCGCAAGCACAAGGACCCGAGTTCGATCCCTGGTACCAAAATTAAAATAAAATAAAAAAATAAAAGGGCTCAAGACAAGGGTCCTGGGTTCAATCCGCAGTACTGGGGGGATAAAGTTGTGTGTGTGTGTGTGTGTGTGTGTGTGTGTGTGTGTACTGTGTATGTGTTTCAGAATTCAGGCTTAAAATAAAATAGTCTTCTTTGTTATCTCCTACACAGATCTAAAAAGTCACAGAGCCCTGAATTTGGGCCCTTGAGCCATCCTTTCTATGTGTTTGAGCCAAAGCAAGTGATTTAACTTTCATAAACCTCAGTGGCTCCTCTTTAAAGCGAGCGA